ATGTAAATGCCGCGTCAGGCAAAAGCTTAGAAATTCAAGCGTAGTGTATCACAAAACCAAGAACCCATTCTGAGCGAAGATTTGTATGAATATTAGTTTTCAGCTGCTCTTACACATCATTTTAGCAAAATCTCAGGAAGATCAATGGTTTTGTAGGTCGAATTTTGGTGACGTATGTGAAAACCAGCTATATATCGAGAGGTCTTTGACAAATCGCTTTTCTTAAATGATGAAGCTTAGATAGCTGATAAAAATAACACATTAAAAAGGAAATCCAGATTTTTAGTAAGGCAACTGGCTTGAAACTTGCCCACCTTGGGAATCCTCTAACAAAAATCTTATGAGATGTCCTTTAACTTACCCTCTCGAGAAAGATTTTCATTAATTTCACGCGTACACGAAAATACACCCGCCTGACATTAAGACTGACATAAACAAACGACTTGGTTGCAAAATCAGTTTTAGTAAACAGTCATGCACAAAGTTCATCCCACTTTCGAGAGGTGTCTGGCAGGTGATTTAACAATGATGGGGTGGCTGTAGACGGATTCATGTAGTCTCTAGCTTTAACTGGGTTTTGTTTTGTTTGATGCTTGCGTACGAAAATGTTAAATCTGTAAAATTACTTCACCAGTATCGAATTTATTGAATTATACAGTTTGACTCTCATATGTTCATGTGTCGTGGTACGAATTGACTGACATAAGAAGAAAGACGTCTGATTAATCCATATTGGCGCGAAATAGGTTCAAGTTACAAGTTAGAGAACTGTTCAAATATTTCAGTTAATCATCGAGTACGCCAGACATTGCAAAAATCTGTGATTGGTTGAAATGTCTGTATCAGACAATCTGAACGTGTTGGTTAAGTTGCATGAAAAGTGTTTCTGTTTTTTCAGGGAGACAAAATTACATTTTTATGATATAAAAAGTAGAGCCAATCTCGGTGAAGTCGCAAATTTTTTTGTGAATCAAGATTTGCGCCAATACACTCCCCCACTCCCATTCAGAACCCACCAAATCACATTACTCACAGCACACGCACCGCTCAATTCTTGTTTTACCAGGTTATATAAACACACATGTATTGTCAGACTCTTGTGTCTACAACCGGTACTCCTATTTACACATTTGTTAGAACTGCTTCAGCACTTTAATTTCCTTATTTCAATTGCATGACATATTTATTTCATTACTTTTGTACCATGATTTTCTTTCATTGAAAAAAACTCTCGCAGCCACATACGGCACTATATATAAAGCACAGCATCAGGATTGCATTTATCCCAGTTGAGCTGAAATTCTTTGTGAATTCCTATCCTGTTCACAGAGGAGTTGATTATGATGTTCACAGGGGTTCTACTATTGTCTGTAGCGTATGCTACACTTTTTTCAAGTGATGAGGACGAAGCATACGTAAGAGACTTTTATATAATTATTATCCCTACTTAGTTTAAAATGTATTGATACTAAGAGCCTAACATTTTTTATAAATCAATTACTGCATATATTTACCTTAGTTAAATTATTTTGTTCTATAAGGTCATGGGTTTAACTCCCGTTGGGAACTCAGAAATTTCATTTTCTGAGTAATTCGACTTGAGAACGCTTCTACATTTATTTACCTTACGTTGTTAGTCTGGAATTGATCATGCTTTTACAATTTGATGCGTGCGTACATCCTTAAAGAACGATTTTTTTTTTCTAAAAACACACACAAAAAAGAACAAAAATTAACTAAAGGTTTTTCAACCTTGAAACTGAGAGTTTGAAAATAACTGCAAAACACTAACATTTTTTTCTTTTCTGCGAACCGTGCTTTTGTAACTAAATAATTTCTAATAAAGCCTTCAAACAAAGTTTAGAAATTGTATTAATCAATGAAGCGTGCTTACCGCAACCGAGAATATGAAGCAATTTCAATAGTTATAACGTCCCTTTCACAGGCTTTCTAGATATGTTAACGCATACCAAATTATGATTTTTCAACAGAAATATCTTCGAGCGTACCATTACATTTCTCCAACACGAACAGGAAACCACGACTTTAAAACAGCAGTCCGCAATTTCCAGCACTTCATGAATCTACCAGTCACAGGGCAAGTTGACAGAGCCACCTCAAACATGATGAGGAAACCACGCTGTGGTGTCCCAGACGTCTAAGATGGAGCCTTCAAATCACGCAAGAGGCGATACAGCACGTTTGGGTCTGGAGTACATCACAAAGACAGGCGGTTATCACACTCATCGAGAAAAGAAGACTAAGATCGCTGTGATCTTAAGAAATGGAGGCCAATCTCCCTACAGAACGTCGATGCGAAGATAGCTTCAAAAGTTATCGTCGAAAGAATGAATAATCAATCAGGATATATTCCAGGCAGAAATATTAGCGAAAATATACGTTCAATTCTGGATATAATGGAATATACGAAAGTTAAGAAACTACCTGGTCTTTCATTATTTATTGATTTCGAAAAAGCCTTCGATAGCTTAGAATGGGATTTCCTGGAAAATGTTTAGAAAAATTCAGTTTTGGACCAAATTTTAGAAGATGGGTTCATATCTTCTACAACGACGTTCAAAGTTGCGTTATAAACAACGGCATATACTCTCACTACTTACATATAAAACGTGGAGTAAGGCAAGGGGACCCCCTCTCGCCTTAACTTTTTGTCACCGCAGTGGAAATCCTAGCGATTGCTATACGAAATCAAGAAAATATTAAAGGAATAACTATAGCTGGTTTAGAAACTAAATTGTTGCAATTTGCCGATGACACAACTGCTNCGATTGCTATACGAAATCAAGAAAATATTAAAGGAATAACTATAGCTGGTTTAGAAACTAAATTGTTGCAGTTTGCCGATGACACAACTGCTGTCCTTTCAGACTTGAACTCAGCGCGAGCCTTGTTTGGATTACTTGAACTTTTTGAAAAAGCCTCTGGACTTAAACTAACTACGAAAACAGAAGCAATGTGGATTAGGTCACTTCAGAATTGTGAAAATGAACCACTAGGGGTCAAGTGTAAAACGTGCATCAATTTTTTAGGAATATATATTACATATGATGTACAAATATTAGTAAAAAAAAAAACTTTCAAACAGAGGTTGGAAAATATTGAGGGCACAATAAATCTATGGAAGGCAAGAGGATTATCAATTTACGGGAAGGTAAATATTATTAAAACACTTTTACTTCCAAAAATGATCTATCCTAGTTCGGTGATATGTACTCCGTATGAAGACATATAAGAATTCAATAGTCTGATTTTTCGATTTTTGCGGAATGGTAACGACAGGGTTATGCGACTTTCAACATTTGCACCCTATGACCAAGGTGGCCTTAAAATGTTAGATTATGATAATATGGTTAAGGCTTTGAGGCTAAGCTGGTTAAAACGAATTGTCTACTCATATTACTTTGGTTTCTGAAGTCTTATCTTAATCATCTTTTGGTGAACGAAGAGGGGGGGGGATTGTTTTTAGTTCAGTGCAATTACGATATCAACCGATTAACAATCCCAGCAACTTTCTTTCGAGAACTATTGGATTGGTGGTCAAAATCAAGAGAAGTCAAGGATCC